GCATGCTCTACTGAATTTAATTTACATGCATTATGTTATACAGTAATTATTAATCAAACGTTAACTTATATTCTTTTACAATTGTTACAATAACTATTTTATTGCTACTTTAATGCTAAATTAGATTATCCATTAGATACATTTATTAAAAATTTAATATTATTATTTAATAATTCTAAACAATTTAAAACATTTCAAGTACAAACTATATTGGTTCAGTTGTACCAAACGAGACAGGAAAACTATTAAACATTTTAAAGTAATTTTGGTATTACAAACACACAATCAAATTTTTACTTTAATATAGTAGTAAGTTCAATAAACTTTTTTTTTGTAAAACATTTTAGAATTTATCTATGAGTTGAATACCTATTATATTTTAATAGACAAAAGCAATATTTATTAAAATTAAATTACAGAATAAATAATTATTTAGTTTAATTAATTAACCTAATAATTTATTAACATATAAACATAGCATATAAACATGCTTCTGACATAATAATAACTATGTAAATTTTATATAGCTATCTTTATATCTTAAATATTAATAAAATTATGATAAATTATATTCAGTATTACCGTACTATAATTTGTCCTAAATTTATCTATCTGTTATATAACCACCAAAAATGTTTTTCCTGTTTAATTAACCTAAAGTTTTTAACCGTTTTACACATGTTATATGTACATAAAATTAACAAGTTTATATAAACGTAAAATTTATTTAACTACATTAAATTTTGATTTAAAAATTATTTAATTTAAAATTACATTCTTAAAAACTAATATTTAAATGATTTTATCACGTTTTATCATATCAATTGTATTTGTCGCAGGTATGTTAGTTATAATAATAAATGCAAATTATAATTAAACTTATTTTTCCAGCTTACCTTTCACAATTCACGAGATGTGAACACGAACTAGATAAATTAACTGACGTTGTTAATGAGCTGGATGTGATTAATAGCAATTTATTGGATAGCTTGGATGGAAAAGCACATAAACAAAGTATTATAATAATATTGCATGAGGTCAACAAGTACATTGTATATTTAAAATGCTATTTATTAAATGTAGGAAATATAATAAAGAAAGCCAAGCCTATTGCCAATGCAATGGCAAAACCAGTGGCTAATACTATGGCTAAACCAGTGGCCAATTCTATGGCTAAACCTGTAGCCAAACCTCAGGCCAAACCCATAGGACTACCGCCTATAATGAAATGGATAAACGGTTTGTTTGTTTAACCAATAAATATATTATAACCAACATTAATATCTACTGACCAACATCTACTGAAAATAACATAATAGGACCTAGGTCGCCGAAAAAACCAAAATGTCCATCCAGTGGTGGCTGTCCAGGCAAAGGGGGCAACAGTGGGCCCACCCCTGGTCGTGGTGTGGTAAACGAGCAACAGCAACAAGTTGTCATAAACGCTGCCGGTGGTGGCGGTAATAACGCTGTGCCCACACCACCGCCAATAATTATAACCCCCGCTCCCGCAACACCTCCATCTGGCAATACAGGTCAGGCACCGGGGCAGCAAACCACTACGCCGGCACCTGGCTCAACTAATGCTATGCCTATGAATTGCCCGGCAACGCCCGCTGGTGAGGCGCCCGCTACTAGGTAACTAATATACTTGTTAATTGAATCGTGGTATATAATTTAACCCTGATAAATATTGATGTCTAACAGGCCCGCATTTCCCGATACGACCACGGCCGCTTTCCAGATGGGTTGCCTATCATCAATAAACGCCGATAGGGCTATGAACAGTGCGCCCGCCCTTACCATGGATGCAACGGTTATTAATATAGTTAACAACGTAAAATTATTATGTAAAAATTAATTATGGTTATAATAGGCACAAATGTACGCGTCGTGTCGGTGCAATTTGATATCGCAAGCTTCGGCCTTATCTCGTGGTCATAACGGCCTAATGGGTTTTGGCGAGAATATATTCTGGGGAGAATTCACAAATGGCACCGTGCTCGATTGCACTGGGGCCAGTGGCGCCGTCGCTGCTTGGTAATATAATTATTTTAATTTTGTTATTCTTGAATTAATAATTTAATTATAAAACATACTATAAATTGTAGTTTATTTGTAAACATTGCACTAATAATAGAAATTACGAAATGGTAGAAACATTGAAGTTATTGTTAGAACGAAAAGATTTTTATAAAAATTTAGACTTGTTTAATTTAGTTTTAGCGGAGATTTATGTTTTAACTAACTTGCATTACACTTATGAAACAGTAGTTTTAAACTAAACTTGTTAATTGCTTATTATAGGTACGCTGAACAGTCCATGTACAATTTTACCGCCGCTACGTTCAATTCAGCGACCGGCCATTTTACTCAACTAGTGTGGGTGGCCTCGACTACGGTGGGGTGCGCCCGATGCGGTGGTATTCAACAAGGTGGATTTACCGAGACGTATATTGTGTGCAACTTTGCGCCTGCTGGTAATGTGCAGGGTGGTTTTGCGGCTAATGTTAAGCCAATGACAAGTGGCAAATGATACAAACCATGCTATATGCTATGCTAAATAATTTATTTATAATGATTTAGATGTTTCTTAATGTATTTAACTAGATTTATTTGCAATATTGTAAAAATAAAATTATTTTATTATATTTTAAAAAATTTTAATCTAGTTTATTTAAGTAATTTATAAATACTAGTATTATGAAATATTGTTATAAAACATATTTAAGTAATGTTACAATTAAGCTAGATTTATTGTAAGTGACCTTATTTAAACAAATGTTTTGATAATAAACTTACCTTTAATAAAGTTAATCAATTATTAAATATAAAACAAATTATTTAACAATTTAAAATGAATTTATTTTATATTATACTTTATATGTTTACCTGTAAGCTATACCCATAAACATAAAATTATAATTACAGTGATGTTATAAATTAATTTAATTAATACTAGATTTTATAGCAAATATTATCTGTGAAGGTGATATCAACATAGATGATAATGACGAAGAAAACTTACCAGGATCTAGAAAGTTGCCCAAACGAGGTTTACCTTATTGAGACAATCTTGAAAATAATAATTAAAATAATATAATTAAAATCTAGTTAAAAATCGTCATCCCTTTTCACAGTCTAATGGATTTCCACCTATTATTAAATGGGCGAATGACTTGTCTGCTTTGTCACCTTTTAAACAAGGTAAAATTAAAACAAAACACATTTATAAAATAACTTAACTAAATAATAATAACATTAAATATTTTACCATTAAATTAATTATATTGTAATTTAGGCGCACAACAACCAATCGTACCGCCATTATTAAACATGATAAAAGGTTTACCAAGTTCACTTTATATTTATTTTTAAATTAATATTTATTGATTTCCAATGTCTATAAAAAATACCCTCATCTATAAAGATGCAAAACAATTCAAGCCATACAAACGCTGTCATAACGCGGGCAGTTGTACGGGCAAAGGTGGAGGTGGAGGGGCGGGTGTGGGTAACCAACAGTCCCAACAATTTGTCATAAGTTTTCCGTCATTACTAGCTCCAGCAGTACCTCCCGGTGCGACACCACCCACAGTAACTACAGCACCGGCTACTACTACCACAGCAAGCGGTCAAACCTCAGCGGCCCCGAGCACCCTTACCTGTCCGCCTACACCAGCCGGCGAGGTTCCAGCTACAAGGTCTGTAAATGTATCATGAGGATATTTATATTGTTAAAACAAATATCACTGTAGAATTAATTTGAAGATGCTAGTTAGTTAGTTGCAATATTATTGATGCAGTTTACTTGAATTAGAGCATACAAATAATTTATTTACATTGATAAATCATTTTTAGAGTAGAAAATTTACCAAAATATGTAGCATTGTAATAGTTTAAATGATAATAATTGTCATAATGATTTTACTAATTTTATATGATTACAAATTGATTATAAATCAACATGATCATTAATGCTCCAAGGAGCGCATTCCCGGATGTAACCACGGCTGGATTTCAAGCGACCTGTCTCATTCAAATCAACCAAGATCGAGCCTTAAATCACGCACCAGCAGTCACTAATAGCCAAGCCGTAGGTTATCATTAAATTAAAACAACTTTGTGTTTAAAAATAGACAACTTTATTATAAATTGATCCAGGCAATTAACTACGCACAGTGTCGATGCAATTTGATCTCACAGTCAGCGGCGCTAACCCGCGGCCACAACGGGCTCACGAGTTTTGGTGAAAATATATTCTGGTCAGAAAATACACAAAACAGCCCGGTCGATTGTACGCAGGCAGTTAGTAATTGGTAGCATAAATAATACTTTTTTTTAATACCAGCTGATTATAAAATTCTTAAAAATTATTAAGGTATTCCGAACAGTCCATGTACGATTTTAATAACCCAGGCTTCACGTCTAATACTGGTCATTTTACTGAGCTGGTCTGGGTCAATACGAGTAGTGTGGGCTGTGCCCGGTGTGGTGGCATGCAGTCTGGTAGTCAGTTTTTCGAAACTTACGTGATTTGCGAATTTTTTCCACCAGGCAATGTGCAAGGACAGTTTCCGCAAAATGTGTTGAGGCGATAGTTTGTGATTTTATTGATTGTTAATTTATTATTATATTAATTTAATATTTATTTATTATGATCTGAATTATTTGAATAATTTTGAAATAGATTTAGAATAGATATAAAAATTTATTATATTATGATTATTATTATTATTATTATTTTATTGTGTATAGTATTTTTCTAAAAATTAATAAATCATAAAATAAAAAATTAGTTTATAAAGTGTCAAAGTATTTTTTTTATAAATCACTGCACATCTGTAAATTTTGATTAATTATACAACGTGTTTTAATCTACGTGTGTAATATTAATTATGCGCTAATTGTATTGTACATTGACTTGAACTTGGTACATCATTTTGTTCATAATTTAATATATTAACATCTGTACTTATATTTTTATAAAGTAAATGTAAATGACGTAAAAATGACATTGCTTAAACATATGTATAATAAATATAATTATTAAATGGGCATTTAGTTGTTTTGTACTGGGATATTTATAATAGCAATTTAATTAATTTTTTTGTTTTTGAAAATAATTATTAAAGGTTGTGTAACTAATAAATAAATGATCAAAGTAATTAATTTCAATATTTGTATTATATTAAATATTTAACAAACAGTATTTTTATAAAATTTAATATAAAACACAGCCAAACAAACAGTAAATATATAAATTAACTTAGGCAAGTATAATTATATTGAACAAATAAAGTAAAGTGCATTTATGATCCTGATGACATAATTTTCTGTAAATGGTAGTAATTTTTTGTATCCCGGTATCTAAGTTATTGATATTACTAATATAGCATTTATAACTAAATTAGTACATTTGGCAATATGTTTGGTTAGCAATTAATTTATCAGTTAACAGTCTGATTCATAGACATCCTGGTGATTTAATTATTACACTATTTAGAATAAACAAAATATTAATAAATGTGACTTATAACGTAAATAAGTAATAAATAAACAACATTATATTGTACCGGGTGTTTTACTGTATCACCATAACGATTGATAATTAAAAAAGATAATTAATCGCGTATTTATGGTTTAATAAAAAGTGACTAGTTGAAACATGTGGTAAAGCATTGTTTTTTTTGTGGAGAAAGTAATAAATTATTGGTTAATGAATTGATTGTGATATAATTTTTGTTTGCTATATAAACTCCGATTTACTATTATTAGTTTTAATTTACTATTATTTGTTGTAATAATTGTATTATTTTAATATGGATTCTAGAGTTGTGGTCGTTTTCATGCTTTACATTACAAGTAATTTTAAGTCTAATTTACTTCCAATTTAATTAGTTCTAGTTTATTTTAATTAATCTAATTTATTTAATTATTATTTGTCTTATTTTATTCATAGTATGTTTTGCCAGAAATTCAATGCCCGACAGAACTGACGATAATTTTCAAAACGATTGCCTGAAAACCAGTAATGATTTGAGAGCTAGACACCACGCGCCAGGGTTTCACCTTGATCATGATGTAAGTAAATTATACTGCACTACATTTTTAAATAAAAATAATGATGAGAGAAATTATTATAAGTAAATAAAAATATTCTTGTAATACAAATGAAATGAAGACCTTAATATTAATAAAATATATTTTTATTATATTTATATTTTATATTTAAATTTGACCTAGGCTGTTAATTACGCAAAGTCCCGGTGCCAATTGATCTCGCAATACGAAGGCTTAAGTCACGGACACGCGGGGCTTAAGGGCTACGGAGAAAACTTGTATTGGGGCGGTAACTCTGTCGATGTTACGGGTAGTTGCGGTCAGGCTGTTAATTCATGGTAATTTAATTAATTAAGTGCATTATATTAGTTAATTAAACTAAATAATTTTACAATCAAGGTACAACGAAGTATCAAAGTACGATTACGACCATACTGGATTTTCTAGCGCTACAGGCCATTTTACCCAGCTTGTTTGGAAAGGCACAACGGGCGTGGGCTGTGCACGTTGCGCCGGACGGGGTGGACAGTGGTTCGAAACGTACGTGGTGTGCAGTTATAAGCCACAAGGTAATATTGTTGGCGATAATAACAGGTGGTTCAAAGAAAATGTCCTCCGACCATGATCAAATTAAATGAATGTTAATTATATTGTTTTAAAACATTAACATTATTTATATGAAATAACTTACGTTCTAATTATTGAAATAAATAAATTTTAATTTAATTTATAAATATATTTGTTATATTTATTATAAAAACAAATTAAATAAATATTATTTATATTTTAACCAACATCTATTAAGATTGGATAACAGCTAAAAATAGTTTTAAAAAATTTGTTTTTAAAGTATTCTATAATAATTTTTTAATTAAAAATTATATTTATACTTAACTAGTTTATTGGTAAAATTGATATACCTTATAACATGAATCATATTACATGATCAGTGATCACTTATTTTTAGTCATACAGCATAGTTAAGCCAAGCCTAGCCCCCCCCCCCATAATCTAGATTTACATTGTTTTACACAAAGCGCATGTGCGA